GCTTAAAACTGACCCCTGTGGGAGCCTCTCCAAACGGTCCTTTGTGGTAAAAGTAAGTTGTTAACACTCACTTGGATTGAACGGGCAAAGAGGAGATTAAAAATTATATTAACAAGCCTCACGGGAATACTCAGATTGAGCAGTTTCTGCCTGAGTAGCGGAAGCAAAACATTATCATACGCTGATGATATATCTAAAAATACTCCAATTATATGCTCCCGTTTAGATAAACCAATCCAGATGTCAGTCAGGAACATGCTTAGACTGTCCATTGTACTAACGCCTTTCCGGAAACCGAATTGGCTTTTGGCCAGTATACCCTTGCTCTCCACAATCCACTCAAGGCGATTTTTGATAAGATGTTCTAGGACTTTGGACATTGTGCAGGAAAGGGCTATGGGTCTATATCCATTAGGGTCATTACTTTGTTTACCAGGTTTTAATATGGGTATAACAATTTGTGTTTTCCATTCTTCTGGAGGGAGCCCTGTTACAAATATGCAATTGAGGATACTAAGGAACAACTCTTTATTTGCATTACCGCTGTTAATAATAAAAGAGTATGGAATCCCATCCACCCCAGGGGCAGAATCAATGAGGCCTCCCAGAGCTGCTTCGAGTTCCTCTCGAGAGAATGGATCATCAAAAACTGTGTGTGGGGAAAATGATGGGGGTACACCCGAACGGATTGCAATGTCTGTAGGAACTGAAGGAGGAGCCAGTTTATTTTGAAATTGATCAAGCCACTCTGCGGTGTCATTGGAACTAATGTTGCTGGTGCAAGACATAGCACCCCTAAATCTTTTGATATTCCTCCAAACTAATGAAGGGGGGGACCTTGGTGAGAGAGTTGCACAAAATCTGTGCCAGCCAAATTTTTTTTTAGAACTTAGTGTTCTTGTAGCTTTTGCTGCAGCTGCACGGTATATTATAAAATTGGATTCTGACATTGTCTGGGCATATATAAGTTCCGCTGTTTTTCTTTCTTTGCAGACTACAGTGCATTCGGAATCCCACCAAGGTGGAGATGGAGGGTACCCCTTATATATATTTTTGGTAGGGAAGGATTTTTCTGCTGATGTGAGCAGGCAATTTCTAAAATCAATATAAACTGAGAGGACATTGTCAGGATTGACTACAGGAAGATGTTGGGTTTTTTGTTCTAAAATACTACTATATTTTGACCAGTCAGCCTTTGCCAAATTGAATTTTAAATGAGGGCGTGGAATACCGTGCACATTACTACGGTCCACACGGTGCTGTGTTGACTCTATGATGATGGGGAAATGGTCACTGCCATGTGTTACTGGCAAGATTGTCCAGATAAGTCGGGAGGATATGGATGGGGTGCATAGGGACAGATCGACAGCGCTTCTAATATTTTGAGATGGATAAACTCTACGCGTAGAGGAGCCATCATTAAGGATGCAGAGATCATATCTGTCAATGATGTCCAAGAAAGAGGAAGATAAATGGTCATTAAAGTATGAGCCCCAGGAAGTGTGGTGGATATTAAAATCACCCAAAATTATAAGCGGGAGGCTCAGATGGGAGAGAATATCAGAAAACTCAGCAAGGCATGCATGGTTGGGGTGGGGTATGTAAACCGAGAGGTAAGTTACTTCGAGGGATTTGACAGATACTGCATTGATATGTTCACTATGGGGCGGGAGGGGGATCTGAGAGAAAGGAATAGATCGCGACACAAGGAGGGCCGAACCTCCTTGTCCATCTGTTCTGTCGTCCCGGAGACACGAGTAACCCGGAAACCGAACTCGGTCGCCAGGCCTACGCCGCATCTCCTGAACGGCAAAAACATCAGGAGAGTATTTATTAATTAGAAATAATATTTCATTTTCTTTATTCTTGCTGCTCCGGCAGTTCCATTGGAGTATGGGAGCCATTGGAAAAGGTAAGATTAAGGAGCTGAGACAGTTGGTCTTTGACATTGTTCGGTAGGGGGACGTCACTAAAACGACCCAAAAGATTGATGATGGTTGATAGAAGTAAACATATTAGATTATCATTCGGCAATGAGGGGGTATTTGGCAATGCGCAACCATTTGAGAGTTGAGACCTAGGAGGCTTAACTATGTCCCTATGAGCTTGCTGATTAAATCCTGGACTAGAGGCAGGGAGGGGTTGATGTCTAGAAGTATATACTGTTTTGCGGTAAGGAATGGATTGCGGAGGACTGAGTTGCGGGGAAAGATGGTAGGGGGAAGCATAGTGAGGGGTTGGAGAGGGAGAGTTAACCACGAATGTCCGCCCTTGCTGTATCAGCAAAAGATCTTCGGACTTGGGCAAATCTGGCAGATGCTTCAGAGTATGAAACATTATCCTGGGACATAGCTAGTTTAATATGTTTCTGTCTTATTTGTTCAGAGCATAAGGTATCTGTTGCTTTATGGCAACCAGAGCAGTACAGACAAGTTGGAATTTCCTTGGTGCAAGATATGCCCTCATGGGCTTGTGCGCAAATAAAACAACGAGCTTCTGATCTGCATTGAGTCTGGATGTGTCCAAACCTGCAGCACTTGTTGCATTGGATCGTTGGAAGGACGTATGTTTCTACTGGGAGTGAGGTAAAGAAACAATAAACATGGGAGGGCAGTCTTTGTCCAGAGAAGGTTAGTACCACTGTCTGGGTGGGGATCCATGAAGGCGAGCCATTACTGTTGTAAGTTTTCCTGTTTAGCCTGCGAGCCCTAACAATAGAGCCATAACCTGTTGGTATCTCCAGTGCTTCTACTAATTCTTCCAGAGTCCATTCTACAGGAACTTGCCGGACAATACCCATTCTGGTTACACTGTAGCTGGGAATAATTGCCTCATATTTAGCTGGGGAAAGAGCAGGGTGTTCAAGGAAAGCATTAGCGTCGTTAGAAGATTTAAATTCAATGGAAATTCTATTTCTACCAACACGTTTCACACCATCTTTAATAATATTTTTAACATTAATTTTATACAAAAAATGTCCAAATTTAATGGGGCGCAATGGCGTTCCAGACGCTTGATCCGATACAATTTTATTAACGTGAACAATAAATGGGGCCGAATCATCGTCCGTGTACTTAATTTTCGTGTCCAAGAATTTTGGGTTGTTGTATGTAGATTGAATAGAAGGGGATGATTGCCCGGTATTAGTTTTTTTGGAGGGCAGGGATGTTTCTTCGGTTGCGGGGGCTCGTTTTCTATTTTGGACCGGATTGTCTAACTCCATTATGTCCACTTGGGATTGTGTAAACAATGGCGGAGATGACCGAGCACGTGGCTCGGCATCGCCTCCACCAGAATCGGGGGGCTCGGACATTTACAAGACAAACACAAATATAAAGCAACTACTTATCTATCTACTCACCAATATAATGTATAATAACCACAAACCAGTTAACTAAACACATAAGATAGGTCAACAGGGCATATAAAAATGGAAATTCGCCAAAACACAAACAGCCTCTTGCAGTTCCCAACCGGAAGTCCAATTGCACAATCGAAAAAGAGTATTATGAAAGGGGTATGACTATGTATGACGACATTGAAAAATTGGTTATTAACGTCAGCGATGAGAGCAGTAGCGAGACCACTTCAGATTCATGTGATTCAGATGAGTTTGTTGTTGCCGGAACGTCTACCCAAGATACAATAGAGTTTTCTGGGGTGGAATATCTCGATGAAAGTGTTTTGGAATCTTATTGATTTAAAATTTAAAAAAAAAACCGCGATATTATCCGAAAATTAGTATTTATTAAAAAAATTTAAATTGTTATTTTGTTTTATTAGAATAAATTGTACAAACAATAAATGGTTCATTTTCCCTTTTATCCTATTAATTTTATTATAATTATTAAACCTACTCGAATCTCCCTTAGTAAGAAGGAAAAAAGTCATTTAAATTATAAAAACAAATAATTCTGTGAGGGATCATATTATGTTGCTATATAATATTATGTTGTTACTGTGGATGTATCGAGTCTGATGGTAATTGAAAATTAACTCTAAGGGCGCGTTTATTTCACGCGAATATGTCGCCCCACGCGGCCGTGACGCGATGACGGAGTTCACGTGTTTAGAGACCGAACTGTTATAACAAAATACGCTTTATTTATTTAGAATTTACATGTTAAATTCAGAATTTTCAAGAAACAAAAACTTCACCACATTACTGCTTGCCGACTTGGGTTCGTTCAGTTACTAAAATTATGCGAACTTTAACTACAAAGAAACAAGTTGTTATTGCATTATTACTTATACAAATAATGCAAAGAAAAAAAGAGGTGAGATGATTTTGGGTTCATCCCATTTTGGAAATAAGAGAAGAGTTTGAAGAATTTCATACGAGTCTGGCTTAGCTTTCGTCCACTTGGCGACCGCGTGGACAACGTGCGGTTGTGTTATTCCGAGAAATTTAAATGTTGTTGCCTACCAAGAAAGTTTTCGGGTCGTGTGTCTGGGCGCTAAAAGCCTTTAACAATAAATAAAAATAACAAGTATCTAAACATTTTTCGTCGTAGTATATCGGGTTGGCACATATTTGATCTAGGCGCCGTCATTAAATCCATACTCTTTTTTGCCAAGCTGTACGTCCATGCTTACATACATGACAGTTTTTTTTGTTATATAAATACGCAATACTTTTGACCATGGATACTTGCGTTTTGGCCATCAACTGAGTTTTGGGCTGGGGATTAGTGTAAAAATAAATGTGGAATCAAAGGAAGTTTGCTACAAAAAGACAATATTTTTCTTATTATTTGCTTTGGACTCAGATTTTTGCCCTGTGTGGCTCGTGCGTGACTAAAGGATTCCGATCTTGCCTTATATTTTTGGTTTCGTTGTGAACTGGTTTGTTTACTACGACCACAATGGGAGGACGTGGTACACCCACCCGAATTGTTTATATCAACTGTAACATATGTGTCAATAATCTGCGCCGATATCCTGCCTTACAACTTGACACAAGAGTTACTGCTTTACTGTTCTTGTATTAGTAGTTTGTGTTTACTGTGTAGCTGGGTATATCCACTGATCGTAAGTATCTTAAATTCCTATTCAAAGTAGGTACGTACTATTATATACATGGCTCATGTTTGAAACTTTATTGGAGTGGGCAGAGAGGCACAGGTTGTCAGAAGAAAAAACTTGTCTACCTCTTCACTACTTTGGATAGGACGTGATTCCCTAGTAGGTTTTGCGAACATTTTTGGGATGGCAAGCAGCATGAAACATTTCACGTATTCTGTTCGTATGAAATGTATGGGATGTATCAAATAAAAGTAACTGTTCATTTTATAATTATTTAATTATCACATTTTGCTTAAAATGGCTATAACTATGCATGTGACTTGCACCCCTTACCCCTGCCTGTTTAAAGTGGGTAAGGTTTCATAGAGAAACAGTAGTTGAAGAGGCTGTTCAATGCAGGGGCCCATTCTCTGTAGTAGGATACATAAGTATTAATAATGAATTGTGAGCCCGTAAATGATGTTTTCAAATTGTACTCATACATTATTTTATTTGCACTTCCTCTTTTTTCAGATTACTGAAGATGACTGTGTTTGTGAAGCTTGTCGAGATCTTGCAATGTTCAGAGTGAACATCAATTTACAGCAAGAAGTTTCTGGCAGTGATGACCAAGAAAGTGGACCAAGTCACCGAGACCACACTAATGTTTGTCTTCTATGTGGTTGTTCCACTTTACATAGGCAAAGTGACAGGATATTGCGAGACAATCCTACTGAACTGCATCAGTCTATGATTAATATAACAGGTACATTATAATTATGTTTAACATACATTATAGACACCTACTCAGTAGACAACCTGTAGCCAGTCTTGCTGTTAGTGTTCTAAGTTAAATGACAATATTGTATAACGACAGGTTGCCAGCCCATCCACTATAATTAGTCTTATCATATAAAATTGAACGTGATCTTATAGATAGTTATTTTATTTTCAGATAACAGCATCTGATAGCGTGTGTCACACATGTTGGTTACGCACCCAAAGAGAGGTTCGCCGTAAAAACCTTCTTGATGATGCCAGATCTGAACCTGGTGTTGCAGAGGAATCACAAGTGGAGCCCCAGCCATCAGGTTCGAATCAGACAGAACCGAACCGCATTGTGAATACTCAAGTAATAGTGTTACCAGACTACCGACGAGCAGCCAACTCTAACAATTGTTGTGTTTTTCCAAACTGCGATAGTAGCACCTTACACGGCATATCAGATAAATTACGTGCACTTGTGCATCATAAGCACAATTATTATCTGCCAAAACTGGCTCGTGTCTGTGGTGAGCATTCTATGAGCAATTCATGGGAAACCTTGTATGACTCCTAGAACAGCATAGAGACTTTCACCGCTGAGCAGATCCAACGTGTATTTTCATTTGTTAATAAATTCAATCCAACTTTAGACTTCGATCATTTAGAAGAAATGAATGATAGAGTATTTGAGTATTGGATAGGACTTACAAAAGAAAAATTCAATTCTTTACTTATCCAAGTACCCCGAATACTGGAACTGCAAAGAGGAAGTTTAGGCCTAGCCACACTATTATTGAAAATAAGGACAGGTGATTCAGTTGATAGAATTGCAACATTAGTGAAAGCGCCACATCGAACCTTAGAGTCTTTAATGGATAAAGTGAGAGAAATACTCCTTCAAGATTTTGTTCCACGAAATCTAGGAATAACTCAATTAAGGAGGGAAGAACTCTTGCGGCATAATTTATTAATTCCAAATGAGCTTTATGGATATGGAAACAATGCCATTGTAATATGTGATGGTACATATGTATATATACAAAAGACCTCAAACTACATGTTCCAAAAGCAAAGTTATTCCCTGCACAAATATAGAAACTTACTAAAACCATTTATGATTGTTGCCTGCAATGGATATATTGTTGATTGTTTTGGCCCATATAAAGCAACTACATCAGACGCTGATATTATGACCAGTCTATTTCACGAGGGATCTGCTTTAAGATCATATTTCAGAGGTGGTGATGTGTTCATTTTGGGCAGGGGTTTCAGGGATAGTATAAGCTTTTTAGAAGGATGTAGATATAGGACATACATGCCAGAATCACTTTTGAAGGCGAACACCATTTAACTACAGACCAAGCTAACCGAAGCCGTTGTGTAACTATTTGCAGACTATTCAGACAACAATATTTTCATCGGTCTCTACCACATATTATGATGCAGAATTTTCAGATAGCGGCGGCTTTATTAAACAATTTTGGTGTTTGCTTTCAAGATAATGTTTATGCAAATGAGATATTGGAAATTATTAGAGAAAAAATGAATCTAGAAAACAATCTGGCAAATATGGTTGATCAAATGAACATGAATAGGCGAACATCCTTCTTCCAAAGCATAACTGCGGATCGTAACAATCTTTTATACTTCCCTACTCTTGAACATAGAGACCTTATTCTATTCGCCCTGGGAACCTATCAAATAAGACAAGCTTGACCAAATTGAAGTGTGCAGTGAACACATTGATACAGGTGAATATAATCTTAGAGGGAGTGGTGTTACTACTTTAATTAGAGGGAAAATAATGTCACGCCACATATCCAGGCGACAATATTATGTTTGTATTGTCATAGAAAATAACATACCTGGCCGGAGAGGAATAACAGAGTACTGTTGTAGTTGTTTAGTTGGTCGGCGCACTGTAGGCTGTTGCGCTCATACCATGACACTCATATGGTATCTGGGATGGGCCAAACATCAACAAAATATTGCAGCGCCGGCTGAATTTATGGACCATATAATTATAAGAGAAGATGATGACGAGTAATAAATAGTTTAAAATATAATATACTTTTATTGGTTATTATATTATTTTTCCTCATTATTTCATAATAATCCCTACACTTGGGTGGACAGAGCCGGAAGTCTCCAGAAGACAACCTACAACCACTCTTGATGTTAAGGTCCTTAGACAGAAATAATGAACTAAATAGTGACAGCCTCTCCATCGCCTATTATATCCATCACGCTAGAGGGATTAATCGACATGCCCGGATGCCTTGGATGATATGTCGCATAGAACAGTTAATAAACTGGTCTATACATACTGCGTTTTATTTCTTTTTCTCCTCGTCTCTGGGCATTGAAGGAACTAACACTAAATAGATACCTATAACAAAGGCAGGCGAGTAATTGCGATAAGTGATTTGTTTGTAAAATAGTAGATTCTTCTATGAGAAACAACATTTAGTTTCTGAATATAAAAATGAACGTCGACTGGCATCGAACCTGCTACCGCAAGGTCGAGTGTTCATTATAGTCTGTCTTTAGTCAAAATGACAACACGTAGTGATTAGATCCTCTTTGATGACAACTTGACATAAGATATAACCTACAAAAATAAAAATATAATATCTTTTATTTGTGGGTCTCTCCGATGGTAATTCCTTAGAATAATAACGCATAGAATGATAGTTTCATATCAAACGAACTGTCACAAGTGAGGCAAAAACCAAATTCATGTAGGCGTAAGCAACTTGTAACTACGCTCGTCGGCACGCACACAAATATACAAATAATGATGCCATGGAATAACATTTCCCTCAAAAGTGGGGAAATTGTATCTTGCTTAACTCATCATTAAGTTAAAGGTGCCTACAGATTTATTTTTATTTTTATTTATTTATTGGTTCACCAACAACTGCTTACACTAAAACTACAGCTAGAGAAATACATAATATTGTTTAAAGGCTGAGTGCAACAGTTAATTACTGGTAAACACCTCATGCCATAACTGAAAACTCGTAATTAAGTACCTATATTAAGATTAAAGAATAATAAATAAATATTGTCTAACCATTTAACAGTAAAAAAGAAACAAACGAAAACAGAAACAAAAAACACATAACCACTTATACTACCTACTTATTTAACAATTTGTTGTGAACAAACACACGAAACTTGCTTAGTGAGATTTGGTGTATATCACAATGATGACTGATTTCATTGAGTAGATTGGACAGTCTGGGTACAGGTGAGTTTGTACCTAAGACGGTGCGCCGCAACGGAGGACGAAGAGGTGTAATGGGGTGACGGGGTAATCTCGGTGGGATACGGTAATTGAAAAGAGAAAGCAATTGAGGGCAATTTATGTGGTTACGCAGAATTTTAAAGAGAAATAGAAAATCAAGGAATTTTCTCCGGTCGTCCAGGGACATCAATTTGAAATAACGTAATCTGTCAGCATATGAAAAGCTTTTTTTGGCTTTGCCGATCGAGAAAGCAAGGTACCACATGAAACGCCTCTGTATTCGCTCCAATCGCAACGAATGAACGGCGAAATGAGGCCGCCACACCACACTACAATACTCTAATGTGCTACGAACTAGACTTTGGTACAATAGTATTTTTGTTTTAACATTTTTAAAATCCTTGGTGTTTCTCATAACAAATCCTAACATTCTAGACGCACGCTTAATTACATTTTCTATATGTGGGACAAAAGTTAACTTTTTATCATACAAAACTCCGAGGTCTCTAATTTTATCACATTCTTGAACTAAATGGTTGCCAATGTAGTATTTAGAGGGAATAATATTAAATTTGCGACAAAATTTTACAAAAAAACATTTAGCAGAGTTAAGCTTCATACCGTTAACTCTACACCATACAACTAGCCGGTTCAGGTCTTCTTGAAGCAGCTGTACATCGTTTATAGAGTTTATTACCCTGGCAAATTTGAGATCATCAGCGTACATAAATAACTTCGAAAACCTAAAGCAGTCAGGTATATCATTTATAAAGATATTAAATAATAGGGGACCCAAATGCGATCCCTGTGGAACACCTGATGCTACGTTTCTAGGCCCTGATTGATAGCCGTTAATTACTACACAGAAAGATCGATCCGTTAAATAGGACATGAGCCAATCAAGAAACTTCCCCGAGAAGCCATATGCATATAACTTTTTAAAAAGTATTTTGTGCGGCACGCAGTCGAAAGCTTTGCTGAAGTCTGTGTACAGTACATCCAATTCCTTCCCTGAGTCTAAAGCTTCGACCAGATTTTCATTAAATGTGACTAGATTGGTGCAAGTAGAACGGGCACTAACAAAACCGTGTTGAAAGTTGCTAAGATAAAAATTAAAATGTCTACGAATATGCGTGCAAAGAAGAGATTCCAAAATCTTGGCAAATGTACACAAAATCGATATTGGTCTATAATTCGTTGTTAGGCTATTATCACCCGACTTGTAAATAGGAACGACTTTAGCTCTTTTCCAAATATAAGGGAACACACCAGTAGCTAAAGATTTATTGTATATTAAATAAAGAGGTTGGGCCAACTGCGACGCACAAGAAGTAATAAACAGAGGTGTTATTCCATCGGGCCCGGCTCCCTTATTTTTATCTAGTATTTTCAGAGTTCTTTCAATAGTTTCTAGTTCTATTAATGGTACATGAAAACCCTGACTATTTATTTCCATGAATTTTAGAGATGACGATTCCTCTATACAGCAATTTCCCCCCAAAATATTGCCACCAGTAAAATCACAAGTACTAGAAAAATTAGACGCAAATAATTCACAGACTTCAGCAACATCAGATGTTTTATAAGAACCATCAGTCATAGAAATGGGGTATGTACTAGATCCACCACGCTTAGCTTTTACATGTGCCCAAAACAATTTGGGATTCGCTCTCAATTGACTCTCCAACCTTTCTAAATGCTTTTTATGACATTCTCTAGAGATACTTGTACATCGTTCAGTGAGTAATTGTAGTTCAAATTCATCTCTCGGATTGTTATATAATTTAAACCTTTGTCTGATTTTATTACGTTCCTTTAAGATCTTAATCAAGTTTCCACTGAACCATGGTGGATATTTACTACATTTCAATCTAGCAATTGGCACATAATCACTAATTAGTGCGTTCAATTTGTCGTAAAATACATTTACCATATCATCAATGTTAAGATTCTGAAATAATATATGCCAGTCTATACTTTCAAGACTTTCACGAAGTGATTCGTAATTCGCTTTATGGAAACTATATTTCACACCTGATGGGTTATACGGTAAGTTGCTAGAATTTGCGAACTCGAGATGTATTTCTAATGGGGGATGATACTGATCGACTTTACTCAGTGGAGACATTGATTTGATAACAATACAAACAGGTATATCAGATAGAACAAGATCAAGTAATTTGCCAGTATGATTAAGTACGTTATTTACTTGACGTAATTTATTAACATAGGTGAAATCAATTAGAGACTGACAGACATCATTGAGTTTACGTTGTGGGTCACCAAGCAAGCTCCAGTCGATTGCTCCCAGATTAAAGTCGCCCACCAAACATTTCGGTATATCAATTTTATCGAATAGAGAATTACAATTATTTAGGAAATTGTCTATTAATGCGATATTCACCGGTGGGGGTAGGTAAACTGCGCAGATAGCTATCTGACGAACACTTTTGCCACTATGAGCAGGTACATCAATGACTACCCATAGATCCTCGCATCTACTCTCCCATTGCGTCATACGCCTCGAATGAATATTTTTTTTTAATGCAATGAGTGTGCCTCCGCCGCTTTTCAAATTATGGAAACCAGTACTTTCCCTATCCCTTCGGTAAACAACATACCTTTCGTCAAATAGCTCACTACTCAAGATGTTACCATCAAGCCAAGTTTCAGTTAAAACTATGATGTCATAATTACATAGGCTTACTTCACGGTGGAAATTTGTAGTTTTCGTTCTTAAGCCTCGAACATTTTGATAAAAAACATTTAAAGAGAACATGATGCATAAAAAAGTCCAAACACAAACGCAACAATAACCAAGTTATATAAATAAAATTAAGCTATTCTCGACAAGGAATCCTTATTCCTGATTAAAATGTAATTTGAACCAACGTCTTTTCTGACGAAGATTTTGCCACTTCTTATCCAAACAAATTTATAACCAGCTTCTTTAGCCTTTTGTCTAACAGTAGCATGCAGGGCTTTATTGGTAGGTGACAGGTGTTCGCAGACGAAAATCGCTACCTTATTACCGGAAAGACCCAAATGAGAGCTATTTAGTTTATCATTAAAGTTGGCTTTGTTGAATTTTGCCACAGACGCTATAAACTTGTCACGCAATCTAGGCGAGGCAAGCTGTACCACAATGGATCTCGGACGGGGACTGTCTTGTTTAAGCTTGGCTATTCTTGTACAGTTCATTATATCTGACTGATTCAAACTGCAATCTACCACCTTACTCAAATTCATAACAATATCCAATAAGTTTTCCTGCTTACTCTCCGGCACACACTGAATTTCAATATTGTTAGAACGTGCCTGTTGTTCGAGTTGTTCTACTTTCAACTTTAGGTCATTTACGGTAACTTTCAACATATTGTTGTCATCCTGAACGACCTTCACAGCCTCCTTCACAGTGACATGCTCTCTCAGAAGTTCATCATATTTGCAGCTTAAAAAATCCATTGAATCTCGCATTTTGTTCATTTCAGTCTCCAGGGGTTTCAGCTTCCTATCCAAACTTTGAGAAACCATGTCACTGAACTTCTCCACCAATCTGTCAAATTCAGAACTAAGTGCATCCTTTATAATAACATGCACATCTTTTTTGGTAACCGCTGTTGCATCAGTATCAGGTTCTGTAATCTCAGGTGAATTGAACGCTGGTCTCTTACTTCCTCTTGAAGTTGTTACACTTCGCACAGGAGTATCATCATTTTTAGTGGGATTTTTATGCGGTTTGCACATTAAACATTTCCACAGCGATGCGGATTTAGATGAAAAAGAGCTTTCATCTTCAGCAATACATGCGAAATGGTAGTTCTGGTTACATCCACTACATCTAATAAAGCTCATCTTATCGTTATCGTTACCATAGGGGCAACAACCCCATTTATATTCACTCATTATCCACAAAATGAAATACCAATAGCAGCAAAATGTAATTGAACCGAATTCCCGTAGGCAGTATAGAACAATCTCCAATGTACGCTCTGTTATATTTATCTTTGGATAACTTACAAACCTAGTAGGCATCCACAGCGTCAATTTTAACCACTACCTTCATCCGAACACGATCGATAATATCACTGCGCAAACCTCGCGACTAAAAGGTCTTAAGCGCCGTGAAATCCGCGTCGCTTACGCGTTCTCGTCAACACTGCGAGTCTATGATGCACTTAATGGTGTTTTCTTATGTTATGGGGTATAGTGATTACTTTCCTTTGAATTTACACACTTCACTATGTTTACTATGGTTAATATCAACTAGTTGGAAATTTTCAAATAGAAATACTAGCTTTAACTGGCTTAAATAATTTTACAAATAGGAAGACAATTAATTACGCGTAACTTTGCTCAAGCTCAATTTATCATTTCCGAATTTTAGATTTGCCCGACATTGTCGATCAGGTGCCTACAGATATGCTCGGTTTTGTCGATGAAAAACGAATATAGCACTTATTTGTAAATCCAAGATGGCGGACACGATTTTTCAAAATATGCTATATGGGTATCCTTTTCGAGGTATTTGGGGATGCTCATTACGAATATGGCACTCATTTCTAAATCCAAGATGGCGGACACGAGTTTTGAAATAAATGCAATATGGGTATCATTTTCGAGGTACTTGGGGGTGCTC